ATTACGTTGAAATTACTAGTAAGTCATGACTAGGAAGATTTAGAAAGACATTTTTTAATAACCGAAAAAAAAAGCTTGAGAATGTAAACGAATAAATCATAAAATATAAGTGCATCATTTTTACCTTTAAAACAAGCACAAATTCTTATAATAATTCTTACCATAAGGTAAAAGAAATTACATAATATCTTATTTAATACATTTATTTAACAAAACTCTTACGCCACATGTTTCGGTAACCACTATTCTTTCAAATATATCAACTTAGAGAGACAAATATCCAATGAAAAAATTCTATTAAAGCATGTGCAGCATTCGGATTTAACCGTTAAGCTTCAGAGACGTGCCCTTGAAATATCGTTTAATAAATTACTAGGGAAACATGCACGATAGAGGTGTTTTCAATAAATCCTTAAATTACATTTGTGTTATTAAATATACCGAGAAGAACAACAACAAAACTTCAATAAAGATTGACAAGAGAGGGTAGTCAGCAGATTTCAGATTTTCAATAGCATTAGAATTACGCTATAGCAACTTATTGGGTCGTTTTGAGCTGTCGCTCTTCTTTCCCAAAACACAGACACCTATCTATATATAAACAATAAATACAAGTACAAGTAGTTGCATGTTACATCTAGTAGGACACCATATAAAATAAATTAAAGGACAAGTAGTTGCATGTTACATCTAGTAGGACACCATATAAAATAAATACACGTACAAGTAGTTGCAATTACATCTAGTAGGACACCATATAGAATAAATACAAGTACAAGTAGTTGCATGTTACATCTAGTAGGACACCATATAAAATAAATACACGTACAAGTAGTTGCATGTTACATCTAGTAGGACACCATATAGAATAAATACAAGTACAAGTAGTTGCATGTTACATCTAGTAGGACACCATATAAAATAAATACAAGTACAAGTAGTTGGCATGTTACATCTAGTAGGACACCATATAGAATAAATACACGTACAAGTAGTTGCTATTACATCTAGTAGGACCTATATGGTCAACTACTTGTACTTGTATTTATTCATGTTACATCTAGTAGGACACCATATAAAACAAAAAATTCGAGCATAATTATAAGTGATATATATATATTTTTCCAGCATTTGTATCTCTATATGTGATATACTTATATTTTTAGAATTTATATGACATTGTTGTTGTTTTTTCATGTTGCCCGTTTCGTACTGTAAGTTTCTTTGTTCTGCTGACACGCCTGTTATTAGCTATGGCAATAAGGCTTGTGCCATAGGTTTATAATCACTCCTTTTTACTCCTGTCGTTTTTTCCCCTTTTAATTAAACTGGGCTGGTTTGTGTTTTGCGAATGAAAAAAAAGCCCTTTCTACACGTTGTAACCCCGTCATCAAATCAAAAGTGTCATGTTTCTAAGGCCATTTTCTCCAACACTGTAAAGATACCTCATTTTTTAAAGATCTTTTCTAGTGAAATAGTTATTCATAAACGTTATATAAAAACATAAAATTAACATCCTTTACTTAGACATTAAAGAAGAATATAATTCTTATAATGAAAACTGATCGTGCAGCTGAATACAATGCATTAAATAACGGTGCATGATTGTCAAATTATATATACACACACACAAGATTAGTAACAGTTGTTAATTTAAAAAGGGGGAATAGAGATCGTCAAAAAAGTACATAAACAAATTGAATCAAAATTCCAAATTATATTTACAAGCCCATAACTAGGAACTCTAAAAAAGTAAACAAACAAGGCTGGAAATAGTGTCTATATTATGTTATCAAGTTACAAATCCCATTTCTACAGTACTTATAAAATTTTAGTGGAGGTGCATGTTTTTTTTTAACAGTTTACTGCTGCATTGGCTTTTTTTTTTCACCCAACCACACTGAACTTATTCAATATAAATAACAAACGTACAAGAAACAATAAACACGTGTACTGGTATGCAACTACAATAAACACATGTACCGGTATGCAACTACAACAAACGAAATGTAAAGTTGTTCTCAAAGTACCATCTTGAAGATAAAGATTGTATCATCACAGATTTAATTACCGACTTCCATCAATGTCACATTGCAATGTAACAAAAGACGAACAGCAAAAAAGCAATCTCATCAGAACGAAATAATGTTAATACAATAACATAATACAACACAGATTAATGCAATATAAACAGACTCAGTAATGTGCCTACCTTGTAAGGTCTACATGAGCCCCTCCCCCACTGCGGACTTAGAACGTTAGAGACAGAGTTTCGATATCTGTGGTGAGCAGAACACAGATAGCCCATTGCGTATCTTTGTGCTTAATTACAGACAAACAAAGGTCTACATGACACATATGCATATTTTTCACCAGCTTGTTGTGCACAAGTGTTTGCTAGAATAAGGCAACACTAATAATGCATGCAAAATAAACAACAGTGACACACTTAGCGTAAGTCGCCAATTATCGACAACATTTACATCGCTACCTTAACATCAACTATTTAAAAATACCAATAGCAAAATGAAAGTGCTATATGCAGTTGTAATAAATGCTGAATACACACTCACGATTTCAGCTAAGTATAAGAAATAGTAGAAAGAATCACCACTGTTGTCTACTGTGGTAATCGTCCACTGTTAAAAACTTGTTGAAATGTAGTCGCGGAAATCCACGTAGAGACAGCAAACTCGAGTAACGATGAACAATAGCAACTCGAATAACAATATGCAACAGCAAAATCGGGAGTCTTTTACGTGGCAGATTCGAATTTATCCACTAGAAAATGCACTAGTTGTAGCTTTCAACTAACAACGGATTTTTTGATGATAGAAAGTGAAGAACTTAGTATATTTCGCAGCACGACAAAATTAAGAATGTCGAATTAAGTTTAAAACTATTCTCTCAGTTTTGTGCAAAACTCTTTGTGATTCCACACTACAGTAGATATCACTTGCAATATTTTTATAGTGGAGTCATAGTTAGGACTAGTAGCTTCAGTAAACTGTCAGCAGTTGATCTCCAACCTCATTTGCTTACGTTTTTTACTATCCCTATTTGTATATTTAAATTCTCAATTTTTAAATATCTTGTATGTTGGCTTTTTTAATGTACAGCAATGGGCAAGTATATGCCTAGAGTAAGACAACCCCCACTAACAGCGAATAAAATTTTACCAATAGAATAAACAACCTTTTCAAATAAAAAAAACGTTTTAAACGTCACTTTAAATACATCTTCGTGTCTTTTAAAGTAATTACTTACTGAGCCAGATAGCTTTGTGCCCTATGTTTCGTGTAAACACGCGTTTAACAGGCGTCGACTACAAAAGCAGCCACTTAGAACAACATCGCATCGATTATGTATTTCTAACTGCACGTAAATCAACTTATAATGAAGAATAATAAACTTTTAAATATGTCATGGACATTTGTAGCGTTACATATAGTATATCTGTTTAGGTTTTGTTGCAAAATAACCAGCCAATTTTGCTATAGGTTTGTGAAACAAAAATTATATTAACATGAACAAATGGGCACATTTTGATTTTATCTACAATCGTGAAATCACTTATTTTGCTTATTATCAACGTTTTATTATTGCTTTTTTTTTTTTGCTTTTAATTATGCACAAAGCTACACAAGGGCTATCTGTGCTCTGCCCACCACGGGTATCGAAACCCGGATTCTAGCGTTGTAAGTCCGCAGACATACCGCTGTACCACTGGGGGGCGTTTTATTATTGAAAACGGAGGTTTTGAGTGTTGTTTCAAGTACAAGTCTGCTTTTTAACGTATTTTTTGCCCTAATATTCTGTTAGAGTTTTGAGCAAATTCGTGTGCGATCCCTATTATGAACCACTATCGAGGTTCATAATTTTAAATAACCAAAGGAATTAATAAATGAAAAAAAAGTTTATATATATATATATATATATATATA